TGGAATATAAGTTCATATAAATTACTTTGTTGTTGAATTATCATCACATATAAGATCCATTGAGCAATCGATAATAAACAAGTTCGAATAGCTTAACTAAGAAATGTTGACAAGAATTTATTCAAAAAGATCTGATTGAGATTATGTGTTGTAAAAAGACCAAAATTTGGATAAATGCCATCAGTTTGTGTCAACATTTATTCATCCATATTTTCATACGATGAAAAGAACTCACGAACTTTCATGATCTATTTGAACAAATTCTGATTCGACAAATAAATCTTGTTTTCCGTTCAAACGAATTTATTTTAACTTGAATTGACATTATAATCAGTTTGCTGAATATAACATGAAATAAATACTTTGATTTCATTTGACATTTGAAAAATGTTTTTGTCAATGTTGTCAAGAATTTCAGTGTCTTTGAGAACGTCAATTTCCTATGGATTTGTCTCCTATCAGCTTCCACTTGGTATTGTTATTCACTTATGAAAAATTTCTTTGAATTATTTGAAAAATCAATTCATTACTGGTCTTTGACAAAATTAACATGATTGACGAATAGTTTTGCTTAAATGAATGAGACCAATATTAGTTATTGAGGATTTCTTCTCTTCCAATACCTTGAAAAGTTCAACTTTCGTTAGGTTCTATAGTTTGTAGCAATATAAATAAATCGACCTCTGAAGAAAAAATACAACGCATTATAAGTTGTTTTCTTGCATTGTACTTTCTTATAGTGCCATAGAAGACATATTTTTATATCTTTATATTCGAAAATGATTTCATTTGTTTTGCTTTAAAAGAGATAAACGAGTTGTCAATCACTTATCATTTATTCGATTATAGCTTTGCTCTCGAACGAATAAATAGATGTTGCACGAAAGAGTGAACAACTATTTGTCAAATTATTGTTATTTTAAATTATCCGTGAGACTAACTATCATATCTTGTTGATCATCAGTGCGAAATATCGTCTGATTCATGAACAATATTATTGAAAAGCCAAAATTATTGGCATTTTTCTGATTTCGAAACCGATTTGAACCATAAGCTATTGTTTTAGATTCCTGCTCAAACCTATGTGAGAAAAGATATTGAATTTAACCCTCATAGTTTCATACATTTTTTCATCCTCACTCATGCTATTTTTTCCTTATGGAAAAAGCCTTTTTTTTTCAAAAAATTCAACAACAAATGAGAGAATTGAATGAAAACATAAGCTGATGGATACTTTTGTATGCAACTCTAACTGATAATGCAGAAATATTATGGAATTCTGTTCAAAACTAATCATATTGAGTCAGGTTCAAGTACAGTAATCGAACGATTCTTGTCAGTGTATTATTGAAACTCGATGATCCGATACTAGGCGAAAAATACGATCTAGGGTTTGTGTCAACGACTGAAAATCCAACTGAATATAATTATGATCTTCGACCTGTCACCATTGGTGTTTTCATCTACGATACTTGGTTAGATATGATTGTAGTTAATCATGCTGTATTTCTTGGACATGATAACGGCAACTGTAAACATCAGATCACGTATTCAACCGATGGTGAGTCTTCTCCGTCTATTGTCAAAGTTGGTGATTTCAAAAATGATACATTATTCGATTTTGTTACTACTAATTATGGTAGCCAACAGTATTAATGTACATTCGGATATGTAACTGAGAATTTATCAAGTCCAATCATGTGTTCAATAGGCTATGATTCTTCTCTAAACTCGATGGTAGCTGGTGATTTCAACAATGACAATGAACTAGACTTTACCTTTGCCAACTCTAGCACACATAATGTAGGTGAGTACAAGTGTCGGTACTAGCACTAATTTTTTCTTTATCTATATTCACATCCAAAACAAACGTTCCACAATTGATAATCTTTCATCGTCAAATAATATTTTTCTCCAATATGTTTCATTCAAAATAAAATGAATTGAAAGCCTTTTTTATTGTATAATAAGAAAAAAAAATCTTTTTAAATACATCAATAATCTATACCTAACATTGTATACAATAAAACAAATCATGAATTCATATAATGATCAGTTAGTTTGACACGTTTACGATCAGTTTTATGTTGCTGTGATACATTTGTCTTTTTCGTTCCAAGCCATATATATAGTTCATAGGATTGTTTGCAATATGTTAAATTTCTTCCATCTGAAAGCCATTTAATGATTGATGTCGGTCAAGTGAATTTACCATGAAAAATCGAAATGTCACACTTGACAAGTTATCAAGTCGTTCTAGTATGGTTATCATATTGTTCATTGATGTAACATCAATTTCCAGATGTTTAATATGACTAGGAATTATGGAGCATAACTTATCTATTACCTTGACATCAGTTTTAGCAAGCCAAGGAATAATAATAATGAGTGAACGAACATTGCATGCTTGCTTTAATATTTTAAAAAAAGTTTTTTGCCATGATTTCAGGGGAATCTTGAGGAAATTTATCAATTAATTGAAGCTTTTTGAGTTATGACAAATCAATTAGTGTCGAGATCAGATAAGCACAATCAATTGACCAACTGTTATCAATTCGAATATCGAGATCAGATACTTGGCGAAATAGCCGCTTTATAGATGATGTATTCTATTTTTAAATAAAAGATCATTAAAACTCTATAAAGAACATCCAATCGGTTTTAGGAACGAACGAAGATCAAAATTTGGCACAAAGTTGAAAGGCTTTCTTCACTGAAAAAGGCCGTCCCCACTAATCGAAACCTCTACGTAGTATACATCAATCATCCTTTTTTGTGAGGAGGTATAGAATTCATTTTTCCCGCAAAAGTATAAAGTTGTAAGAGAGTGCTCTAGTGAATGTTCGTGAGATCAATATTTATTTAAGCACAGGTTTAAAAGAGAAATTCGTTGCGCACAAACTTTCTTGGAGTATGATACCTAAGCTCCAAAATATGCACTTGGGTCTATTTGGTAGGATTAAATGTGCTCCACAAAACGACATGGTTACAATGAAAAATAAAAACTCAACTTCATAAACCTCATTCCACAGGAGAAGAAAAAGCTGAATTAGACAGTTTATTTCTATATGGAATCTGGTTGGAACAATGAGTTGCTATCTACTGGACATATTTCAAGAAGTAATATTTGATTATAAAAGTCGAAAAACTTGAAAAGATGAAACAATTTCGATAAAAACATCAAAATCTCCACATTATTTCGCTATTTTCGAAAAATGATTTCTATTTTAACAAAAAAATAGTTAAGAATCAGCCTCTCCACCTCGTTTCTCAACCACAGTATGTTCCATCCTCTCTCTTTTGAAATGCAGAAAGAAAAATATCTATGGAGTGTTCGTAATATTTTTGTTGATATACAATGAATGAATGAATAGTTATCTAAATTTCACTTTTATTATTGTCATTCTAATTTATTATTTTGAATAGAATCAACTAATATTGGTTTCACATAATCTGCTACGATGAACATCTCGCCCAGACCTTCACTATCAACAAGATAGTCTGTAGTTTCGTTTGAAGTATCAAATAAACAGAAACTAACTTCCGAAGTTAGAGTCGAACATTCACACTTGCAGTCGTATGAAACAATAATGAAGGAACTTGAATTTGCATGGTGAATAATATTAGCTAAAACAATAAAAATGCGTACACTACAAAAAGAATTTTGCATTCAATGGTGTTATTGGGTAAAAAGTAAACAAGTCCAAATGAGTTTTATACTTCGAAAATTTTATGAATATCTCGGTAGGAAATATAAATTATAAAAGAAGTTATTTGTTAGTTTTCAATACTTTTAATTAAACTTTAGACTTGATTTTTTTTGTTCTGTCAGACCGGCAGAGTAAGTGTTCAAATTATTTTTTGTACGTACTGTCTATTATTGCTTTAGTTAAGCAGAAGATACGTTAGGTTGTGTTCTTCGGAGTCAAATAACAAAACGAATCAATTCATTAATGAATATTTTCACTAACAACTAAACTTTTCGGTAAAAAAGACGAAAATAGATATGGAGTCATATATTATGGAATTGTAGACTCACATATATTTGTTAGTTACTGAGATGTGTATCCAATTCATAAAAAACTCAAGCTGAAAGATAGAATTACTTGTCTAATTTTTTTTTCGAGTACTTATCATTCTTTTTCTTGTTTTACCTGTTTTTTGATAATTGCAGTCATTATTTCTTTTGTTTCTAAATAAACACTAGTTACATAATTCATCATTGTTATATTATTATTCATTTCAGTCAAAGTCGAAAATGTAATTCTATTCGAATCTGGATGATATTCAAAATGACGACCAATAAAAGGTATCAAATAGAACCGTATTTCATCATCTTGATATCGAAAATCACGTGGTACATGTCGAATAAGATCGCATGTAACAAACCAATGTTTGATTTTAAGCTAGAATACTGTTCGAAATGAGGTAATCAATCATCGAACATTGATTGAACGATAATCAATATCGACTTTCTTATTAAAAACAAATTCAAATTTATTTAACATTGGTAATTTTGTTTTAATAAATGGTTCCCATGGGAAATCGATTCGATCTACTTCACCAATTAATCGAAGATGTATTAATGGAGATGTATTTGAAAGAATTATTTCAATTTTATCCATATCTAAACTAGCATTTTCCATAGTGAGTGAAATTAATTGTTGCATTGCTACGAGATTAGAGATTTTAATACTTGGTTCATCATAATCGATTAAATTACAATAATTAATAAATAATGTACGTAGACAAGAAAAATGATGAAAAATAATCGAATAAAGGCTTGAATAACAGTCCAATAACGTTAAATGTTGTATTGTACATTGTATTGGCCAACATAATAGATCAGTATCATCTTCTATTACATTCATTGTCAGTTTTTGAAGACTAGGTTGTTCAAGAATTGTCGAAAGAAGACGATTAATTAGTTATTTTTGAACGATTATAGATATCTTTCTGTTTAATTGATAATGAAATAAGTGTACAAGTAGTAACATTTTTTAAAGAATTCGTTTCAAATAACGTTCTTCAATATCACTAAGTGTCAATGAACAAAGTCGCGTAAAACGTTCAATATGAAATAATGAAAAAAATAATTGAATTTGACCTGGTGTCATATGTTCATCAGAAAGTGTAAGTGAAATCACATTTTCTAGTTGAATAAATCGACAAATACGATCAAAATTCGATTTTAATATCGATTCAAAATTAAGTTTATAATGATCGTAAACATTTACAATCGTATAGAATCGTTTGCATACATAACGAAGTGAAAGAATAATTGTCTGTTCATCAAGACTATTGAAAATTCGATGAATAAGTTCAACAGGTAGTGTATCGAGTGATGAATTCAATATAGTAGACATCAATAAGATGAATGAGAGAGAACTAACAATTCTATGTATGAAGGTAAAATTATCGTTTATGAGATTGATATTACGAAAAGCCAACAATAAGGAAAGAAAAATATGTTAAGTGAGAAAAGAGGGCGTTGGTCAGCAATCGAAATCTCTCAAAAAACAATCTTTTCAGATATAGCATTCATATTTAACTCTTGTTCTTTTTATGCAAATTTCGACATCCAATTCTACATTGCTCACATATTCCAAAATGAAACATCGTCTAAATAATATCATAAATTTTTTTTTAGCTTCTACTATATTTTTATTGATTATCGAAACAACTAGAAAACAAAAATTAAATCATTAATAATAGTAAAACAATTCATTGTGATAAATCTACAGTTTGTTCTTAGTTAAATTTAAATATATCTTCAGTGAAAATATCAAAAAAAATTTGTTAACTAATGTTATTGTTTGTTTCTGGAACATGATGAAAATCGAGTCATATTGGATCAGTTGTAATTTAACCAAACTAACCATTTTGTTGTCATTAAACAGGAATATAATAGATATGTTTTGATTAACAGTATATTTTTATCCTTTTTGAGAAAAACTATTACTTTGATACTGTGGAGTCATGAAACAAATGATAACAGCTGCATTCTGAGGATGGATGTGGGTGTGAGAAAGAGGAATACTATCATAGGCATGCACACTCATAGAGAAAGATTTGAAAAGACTAAAACCAGTTGATGGTTTGTTTTTAAGTGACATTGAAAACGCTATAATAGCATGTTCGATCTCATCTTCATTCTCTATACTACAACATCTTGCTCAGCACTACGTTGTAATGAGCATGTACGTTGGTTTTCTCACTGTTTATATGTCAAAAAGTTGTGCAACGATGATTCGAATTATAAAATGCGGATTCTAAACAAGATGTGCATGCTTTGTCAAAGCAAATTCTCGTTTAGAATGATTAACAAAGAATGTTCTCTAACGGTATTTCAAGAGCGTAGTCATGAATCTTATTTCTTAGGAAAAACTGTATTATTTAAAGTTCGCGAAAACATTCTTTGTTCTTTAGACTTTGTATTGAAAGTCTGACTCGAGATTTTGTTGCTGAAAAATAAGGCTTGATAATTTCGCAAAACAGTTATTTTCTGTTCACGGTTTTGCTTATGAATCGGATCGAATCATCTGTTATGAGAAAATACTTCATCATAAGATCCATAGAAACAAAACTATTTACAATCCATTATTTGCTTCGGTCAGTTGAGTTTTTCTACGCTTTTTTGCCTTTTGTTCGATCAACATCAATCAAAGAAACAAAAGTAAAACAATACTTAGAACTATGATACACGTCAGTAAAGTGGACGAGGCTCTCAAGAAAACAGTATGAAATATATTCTTTAATCAAATAAAAACTCAGTTGAATCCAAATTCCACAATGAATAAGAGATTATGTTGTTGAAACAATAGTGAAATTGTTTTTTCTCAGTATCAAACATCTTTATCTTTGTTGTGTTTGTGATAAGTTTTGATTAAGTCAAAAACCAGGAGAACAAGTTCTGGTTTCTCGCCTGTGAGCAAAACTAAGAATGCAGTCATGGTCATGTTACTTTTGAGATTTATATCACAGTCAAGCAGGGCACTACTGATCACTTTGTTCTGTGCAGAATCGACTGGTAGCGAGTACCAATAACCCTTATCTCTGATTATTGACATAAGCGCAAGACTGACTTCACCAGAGTATTTATCATACATTGAACGCGTTTCATTTTTTCCAGGTTGGTGATAATGGATAAAGGATTCTAAATAATCTGTAAATCCGTCTTATTGTAACGAGAATATATTTGAAGAATATACACTGTAATCGTATACATCAAGATGAATGTCATCATTTTCTGGAGTTAGCTCAAATTCCGTTCGAACAGTAACTGTAAGACTAAGTGGATCGGTGGTGTTATCTGTTACATTGTCTAGCTGTAAAGTTTTCCAAAACATTGGGATGTCTTCGCTTAAATAGTGACATTTCCGATAATTGATATCCAATTCTCGTTCAGTGTCAAAATATGTTTTGATTTCTAATAAGTTAATTGATTTCCTATGATGAATAAGGTGCTCTAATTCACATTTTAGATATAATAAAATAGATTTCTTATAGTACGCATTAGCTTGGTCAGGATTTTTGTATAAGTTAGCTATCTTATAACACGAGCAAGTAATCATATTAGTATATGTTTTTTGATCTCCTTCATAGTTTGAACGCGCTTCAACTGCATTCCAACTGAGTTTTTTGCAAGATATGCGTGCTCGTAAGGAACTCTTTAGCCACAATTGATTGTCGATATCACATAGAACTAATCGATATGTTTTAAAATTCTATAGAGACAGAAGATTGTTGACGTTTATCTTTTAATGATACTGTCACACACATTTCATACCGTTCAATAGCTGAATTAATGTTTTCGTCATCTCTTTTAGCATAAACCAAAGCAATATCTCTGACTGTCATAATTTAACTGTATATGTTGAAGAGAGATAGAAGCGAAATAAGAAGAAGAATCGTCTATCTCTATAACATTTATACATATATATGACAGATATCGCTCTTAATAAGAGTTAAAAGATATGAGAGACCAATATTTAATCCTTTTGGGGCAGGATTATTTTTTTCGAACAATGATAAGACGAGAAAGTTGATTAAATCGATTGATTTTTCAATGCCTGAATATAAATATTTTGTGAAGGAAACGATTCAACAGTAAAGACATGTCATATAGCCTATGGTTTTATGCATATCAACTGATCGTTCACTATTGAACATATATATTTCTCGCCTATTTTGAAGAAAACACTCTGGACGCATATACGTGTCTTCCGTTCCGAATGCGTTGATAGCATTCTACATCTACACTTGGCCACAAAACAATCATCTCGATGAATTCACATATCTTTGCCTTATTTTTATCTAAACTATTTATTGAGAATGTTGAAGCATATAGAAAATGATGATTAAATATAAAAAAATATAAGAGTTTTAAAAAGAAAAAACACATGATATTCACTGAAATAAACTAGAGAGAGAAAAGGCTGAACAAAGCAGTTAAGAAGCAGAAAACTAGCTACCAATAAAATCTTAACCTGTAAATTCGCTGTTGTGAACGAAAAATTGATTGTGTAAACATGTAACTTTATATGAAAACACTCTAAACGCAATTGAAGTTTCTGTTAGATAAGATTTTCAACAGTTAACAAGCTTTTTCATGAGTAAAAACTACAGAAACGCCTTTCAAGATTAGATCGTATCTATATAACATAGAAATTTTATGGAGATTAGGAGTTCTATAAGAGTGTATGAAGAAAGCAAAAGAGAAGATTTAATGTTCGAAGTCACTTCACCAATATCTCGTAGAGTTTCCAAGTTACCCGCTGTTCGCCGCAAAATATCTTCACATTCATTCTGAATTCAATGATCAATTTGTAACATGATACCACACCGTTGATCTCATATCCTATGAATAGTCACAACAACATCTATGTTCAAATTTAATACATAATTTCAAGTTAGTCATGGCAAGCATAGTATGGTTGATAATTACCTAGAAGCTGAATTTTCTTAACAAGCATCCTGTTCAATCTATAGTCAACACTTTAAATCAAAATTAAACATTGTGATCTAATTACTAATTACATGATAAAAGAATACCAGCAACAATCTATCATCCCGTGTATACCCTTAACCGTGAGACAAAACTTCTGTATTTATTAAAAGGAAACAAATCATCGCCAAAATGAATAATCCTAAAAATAACTCTATTCAAGTATGCTCAGTCACTTGCAAGTAATCATCGTATGTTACTTAAAAAGAATAGTCCATACATTAGGCGAACATTTTTGATAAAATATCTGTTCAAAAAATTTCTTCAGAACAAATTCTACTGTATCATTTACACGCCCGATAATGAATGCGTCACAAATGAGTAGTTTTAATTAGGGTTTTCTCTATAACTATGTAGCATATCAAAAATGAAATGTGAAAGTTCGTTAGGTAATGCTAGATCACAAAGTCAATGAATCATTTTAAGTATAGTTTTGTTCAAATATATCAAACATTTCGAAGCAAAGTAGGTCCCTGAATAACATAATCGAGTATCATTTTACAAATGAACCATTCCCATTGTAAGCTTTTTGTTCATATATATGATTGCCATTCGATCAAAAATATAATGACAGGTCTCACAATGTAGGTCCACCTAAAAACTACATAGCAGTAACAATAGATCTAATCGTTTTCACGCATATCTAAATGAAAAAATCAAGTAGAAGCATCATGTTAGAGACTCACACAGTAAATGAATCATTATAAACAGAGTAGTGCTCAATTATTTTACTCTCTAGCAATCGATGATCGTAGAGCACAAGATTGAACAGCATATGACATATGAATTACCCTAACGAAGATCGTGTTCAATTATTTTAATTTCTAGCAATCGATAATATTAGAACACAAAATTGAACAATGCATGGCATGTGAATTATCCTAAGAAAGGTCTTGTTCGATTATTTTACTCTGAAGCAACCAATAACAGTAGAACACAAAATTGAACAATGCATAGCATGTGAATTATCTTGAAGAAGCTCGAATTCATTTATTTAGTTTCGATGCGATCGTCAACATAAGAGGACACAATTGAACAGTACATGTCAGATGAATTATACTAACCAAGGTTGTGTTCAGTTATTTTACTCTCTAGCAATTGATGACATTAGAGTACAAGGTTGAATAGCGCATGGTATATGAATTACCGTAAGTAAGATCTTGTTCGATTATATTATTATCAAATAGCCAGTGACAGTGAAAGTCATGATGGAATATGACATGACTGATGAATTATTTGAAAGAAGATTCTATTCTGATAAAACTCCGTATGAAGCCAAGAGTTGGCTTGGTTTACATCAATAATGATGTTTGAGATAATGAATTAGCAAGACAGTGATCACATTCAAATTGTTCGTTG